GGGGGAGGGGGGGGGGAGGGGGGTGAGCTCTTATCTGCTGTCACATAAAGCCCCTAATCTGCCCCTCTGCAGCGCTCAGTTTGGACAGCTAGAATGGCACTTTTTTATTTATTTTCACTCAGCAATCAATCTCCTAATGAGCTCTAGAACCTTGGTGTTCTAATTGTTTCAGAGCCTAAATCAGTGGGGCGTGGGTCCATTGTAGGGCGGACCTGACACAGAAAGGCAAATTATTTATTATTATTTATTTTTTAGCTATTTTCTTTATTTGTTCCCTAGTGAAGAAATGGCACTGATCTGGCATTTCACATTTTCTCTTTTGTTTAGTTATTTTGTACAAGCTGTAACCAGTGTCACTCTACTATTGGACACTGACTCTGGCCACATGAAGAAGAGATGTTGATGTGATCTTTCTCTAACACTCCACAGGTTGGATATCTGTGGCGAACCTCCTGTTGCTCAGGTGCCAGTATGTACCGCTGCTAGATTTTACAGAAAGAGACTAATGATTGTATTTTAACACATGGCTGTTCACCACAGCAGCTCAGGACAGACCAGAACTGACTCTGAAAGCAGAAAGCAGGACGTAAAGAAGCCGCCGCAGATGCACTTTAATATCCTAAATGCTCTAATCTCTCTGGTCCACTTCCCTTCCTGTGACCCACACAAAACCACAGAACAGGATATAAAAGTGGGTTTTTGTACACACATTCTGCAATTCTATTACTGCAGGAGAGTAATTAAAAAAACAAAATACACTATGAGAATGAGATTTAAAAAAAAATAAAATAAGAAAATACCTGTTTCATGGAAAACCACACTTGACATTTGTTTTCTAAATTATGTTGATTTTACATAAGAGGAACTTTGAACATTTTAGCATTAAAAAATTAATTTACTGAGTAAACAGTTACATTTAAATATATAAATATATAAAGACACAGCTGAGTTTTTAGGTCATACTTGAGTAAAGAAATGCTCTGAGTTATGATACGAATAACGTTGGGAATTTGAATTGGGACAAGAGAAAACATAGCAGTGTGGATGATGTTACAAATAAATACTTCTCTTCTGCAGTGGAAAATATAATTTCAAACCACCTCATGTACTGAACTAATCTGTTACAACACCAACTGGCATGGAAAAAAACACAATTGTTCTGATCCTGGGATTTTTTGAACAAGCTGTGATGCAGTCTGGTATACTTGATGGACATCCAGCTCTTAGGTGGGGTGACCCAGAGGTTGATGTCTGCTGTGCCAGCCTGAGGTGTTTTTGATCATCTGTCTCTCTAATAGAAACAGGACTGATCAATACTTCTCCACTACTAACATGAAAATACTGCACAGTATAATCAGTGGAAATAACTCCTGGGTAACAGTCACTTTCACAATGTCACATTCAGGAACGGATGTTTTTTCTTTTTCCCTGCTGACGTTTGTTGTTTGTGGAAAGGTTTTTAAATAAGAAACAGATTTTCTTTCAGGGGGAGAACTTATGGTCACACAAAGTTATTATATGATTAATTATTATATGATTAATGAATGCTACATTTGATGTTTTTTCTGCTAAAATACAAATGAACTAAATATAGTAGTAGATAGTACAGGTAAGTGGTAGCAAACACAGAGATCAAATTTACTTAGAGTAAAAGTTGTACAAAATAATGAAACATATCTATAAAAATATCCTAATATAATATCTTTAATTTAGCAAGTTAGCCATGAGAATTATCTAAAATGGCTGAAATTAGGGAAAAGTAAAACAGCTAAAATCTAAACATTTAAAATATATCCTGAATTTAGCTTGTCCAGAAATAGTATAATGAAGTATTACTTTAAAGTTAATGTGGGAAGACTCTGAACTGATTTCCATGAAAATAAAATATCGGAAAAAACAAACTGTTACTTTATGTTGTTGCTGTTTATCTGACAAGCACACGTGAAAGCACGTGTGTGGTGTACGTACAGGAAGTGGGCGTGACCCTGCTGTGGATTTGTTATATGGGATCAGTAAGTCAGTCAGGAACAGTAACTGCACAAATCGGGCTTATTTATACCTCACTCTAATCCACAACCGTTAACCAGAGCTCACACTGCAGCACACTTTAATCACTCTGAGGTGAACGTGCTGCTGAGGAGCCCAGCACGTGTCACTCTCATGTTTTTAACACGTGTGTGTATGTGTGTGACCACTTATTTCCTTCCCAGGAATCATTGGTCAGAAGGTGGAAATGGACGATGACAGGTGGGGGTACGTGGACTCCAAGGTGGATCTCCGCTGTCGTTTCATCAACAGCTCTCCACCTGTCAAAATCTCCCAGGTATTTATACGTGTGTGTATACATACATATACATATGGTGGGTCAAAGGTCAGTTGTTCTCCATCTTTGTCCTTGTAAATTTCAAGGTAACCTGGCAGAAACTAGTCAACGGTACTAAACAGAACGTGGCCATCGCCAACCCCTCACTGGGCGTGTCTGTAGCCCCGCCCTACAAGGATCGCGTTGCCTTCAAAAACGCGGCAGTGAGGAGACGGACGCCAAACCTGGAAGACACGACCATCACTTTCTCCTCCCTCCGCCTCACAGATGAGTCCACATACATCTGTGAATACACCACCTTCCCAGCAGGGAACCGAGAGAACACTGTCAACCTCTCTGTCTACGGTGAGACAGGCGCGGCATGGCACAAGTCATGATTTAGATACACTGTCACTTACTGCAGGGCCTGTTAACAAGGACTGTTTTTAGTACAAAAGTACAATTTTTTTTTCTATCTACTGTAGGAATGCCATTCTTTCCAGAAAAATTGACAAGAAGTCTGAATTATAATATAAAGAATCTGAGATAATAATGTGTGAAATATGGCAAAAGGTTAATAAAAAAATCCTAATAATCATGTAAAAGTCAGAATAAATATAAATAATGAGTTGCCTTAAAAAATGTTTTATTATATTGACTTTTCCAAACACATTCTGGAATAAACTATTTTAAACTTTTATATCATTATTTCTATGTCATTATTCAAAAAGTTTCTTCATATATTTACACAAAGGTAAAGGACAATGAGGTCACTGTTTTTTCTTGAGTGTTTCGTTCTCATCTCATTTACATTTTTTAGTTCGTCCAACAACTCAGATGAGCCTGTCCACACCAACACTGGTGGCTCGGTCATCCAATCAGAGGACACCTGTGGCCACCTGCATCTCTGCCAATGGAAAACCACCTGGTTCCATTAGGTGTGTGTGTATGCATGAGAGAGAGAGAGAGAGAGAGAGAGACCTTATCCTTCCATTATCGATGAATACAGTTTATTCTACGTTAGTGAGTCCCAACCACTGTGGAGTTTCTTTCTTCAATTCCTGCCAGTATATCAGCGTCATACTAAACAGGCCAAGATTACAGTCAAGTGTGAGGTCATTAAACTGGAAGATTATTATTATTATTAATATATCTGTTGTTAATCTGAGCAGGTGGGAGGCCAAGGTGCCTGGAGAAGTGACCACTCGAGAGTACAAGAACCCCGACGGCACGTTCACTATCCAGAGCGACTACATTTTGGTGCCAAGCAAAGAAAGTCATAAAGAGACTCTCACCTGTGTCACTACCTACAATGATGAAGTCTTCACCGACAGCGTCACCCTCGACATACAGTGTGAGTGTCTCGTCGTGGAGCCGAACGAATAAAAGTGTGACTGTGTTGGTTTCTTATCTGTGTGTCCCTCTGTAACAGATGAGCCAGATGTTTCAGTGGAGGGATTTGACGGGAACTGGTACCTGAACAGAGAGAACGTCCAGCTGAGCTGCAGAGCTGACGCCAACCCTGCCGTCTCCCTCTTTCAGTGGAGACTGTGAGTTGAACTAGTTTTTACACCTAGTTACACCTTAAAGTAAATCTCCTCGCTGTGCAAACGTTACGTCCAGGGAACAGAACGTCACCTATAAAGACCTGACGTTTAGTCTCTGTTCTCTGCCTTCTTGTGGTGAAGGGTTAACGGCTCCATGCCGAGCAACGCAGAGATCCGAGACAACGTTGTTATCTTCAAAGGACCAGTCACATATGACCTGCAGGGCATTTATGTGTGCGATGCTACTAACAGCATCGGAACGCAATCGGGTTCTGTTGAAGTCAGCATCATAGGTAAGTTTGATCAGCGGTTTGAGACGGAATTTTTATTCTATCTGCTGACTCGTGATTGTTCTGTTGCTCTTGTCGTGCTTTTGTAGAGAAGCCTCTACCTCAAATTGCAACCAGTGATGTCATCAGCGTCATTGCTCTATTACTGGCTGCTGGAGTGCTGATGGGCATTACAATCACGGTGTTGATTCTCAAAATAAGGACTAAAAAAGACGGACCCTCGTATGTAAACTCTATTTTTAGATTAAATGTTTTTCTTCCTACGATGGTTCACAACCTCTGGAACTGACTTTGTCATTTCTTACTAAGCAGAAATAGCTCCACTTCCAAAAAAAAGGCTCAACAAATGAGGAAAAGACCAGCAGATGAAAACCAGGTAAAACCTGTCATATGTGTCATTGAGATATCACTAACGATTACAAATATAGGTCCCTCTGATTCAGTTCTAGTAACCTGAGGTTAGTAACCTGACCCTGTATGCTGACAGTCCTACAATTAATTAAAGACCCTGACCCTGTATGCTGACAGTCCTACAGTTAATTTTTTTAAGTTAAATTAAAAAAGACAACAGCTAGTACTTACAGTATCGCAATATATAGCGAAATATTGCATCGTTGCCCCATTATCGTCCTGCCATACATTACACACCCCAGCCCTAATACATACCCATATATGAATAAACAAGACCCCACCTGATCTGTCTTTTGTATGAAGTAAAAAGTATACATTTTCCTTTACCACCTCCATTTATATGTTGTATATATGTTATACATTCATACATATATACCTGTATAGCTTGAAGATATACTTGCCTTATAAACACAGCTGATCTCAGCAACAGTGACGTACTAATAAACTGCATTTGGGTATTTTCACACAAATACTTTACAGTACCTTTACACAGTACATGTACACACACATTATTTTGTCATAATTGTCGCGCCTCCGCAGCATTCTGGACGCTTCTACGAGGAGCTTCCAAACACAGCAGATTACGTGAGCTACAGACTGGCCTGTAACAAAGAGGACTACCCAGAGCCCTACTCTCCCCCCATCAACCCTCCTCTGTCCTTTCTGCCGCAGCAGCCGTACCACTCCTCACAGCCAACCTCTACCAACACCACCAGGAGCAGCAGCACCTCGTCCAAAAACACCTTCTCTCCCTCGTCACACACCATGGCCATCTTCAAATACCCCACCGTACCGGGCATGTCTTCACCCCCGCCAGGCGTCGGGGGCTACCAAACACCCAAGGAGCAATACGTCTGATCCAACATCTTTTTACAAACTCATGTAAATCCACAAACTTTTCCAAACACGAGGCTTGAACCCTGAACTTGTCTACACCGTCTGCAGCCCTGTGGCTCTGGAAGTCGAAGGACGCTGCAGTTGGACTGATGTGAAACCTTTTTATCCTGTTGTCTTTTACGGTTGTTTTCACTCTTTAAAAAAGGGAACATTTGGTTTTAGGATAGTAGAATGTCAGCTGAAGGATTATTTGACATTCTGTGGTTTTAATGTAATATTGTGTCAACATGTTCCATTCAAATGAAATATTATAAATGATCCCGCTGCCCACTCTCTGCTGGCTGTTATCTCTTGTTACGTAAAACAGCTTCCTGTATTTGTATTTTCTAACATTTGTGTTTTTGTTTGCAAAAAAAGAGAAAAGAAACATTTTTACTCATTGCATACATTTTTATGTGTTTAAAAGAAATTGTTCTTTATATTTGTGGTGCATTTCTGTGTTTTTTAGAATTCATTGACACTGGCTGTTGGATGAACTGTACATTTTAGTTTTAACTGTTGAAATAAAATGTTAATGTTACCATCACTGCAGAGGAAGTAGTTTTATTCTCTTTAAACTTTTCTTTATTCCAGGCCATCATTGGCCAGTTATTCTCTTTAAACTTTTCTTTATTCCGGGCCATCATTAGGATGGTCACTGTGTGATACCTTCACTGTCGAAGTTCTACAAAGGATGTTTCATTGAAAATAACACTGATAAATAATAATGGTATTTTATATTACTATTATTATTCACTTTAAATTTTGAGAGAAGAAACTTGAAAATCACCTTTTCTTTTTTTCCAAACAGAAACCAGTATATATCTGATGGAAGAAGACACTAATAATTACACATGAGGTAACGCCACTATACTTTTCTGTACAAATTACAAGCTGTTCTGATATTACTTTAATATTCTAATATATTTTCGAAATTTCAATAGTAATATTCTAAGTATTCAGGTGAAACTATATACTTCAAACTTGATTAGCCACGCTAGACTTGGGTCTGGAAGGTTTCAGGTTCGAGTCCACCAGCTGCCAAGTTACCACTGAGGTGCTCTGACCATGGCACCGTCCCCACACACTGCTGCCCCCTGCTCACTATGTGTGATGGGTTAAAAGCAGAGGCCACATTTGGTTGTGTGTGCAGTGGTGTGCTGTGTCACAATGACAAATAATTCACTCAATGCTTGAACTTCCAATCTTTCCCGGACACACGTCTAAATTAGGCACCTGTATTGACACTGCTGGTCTGGTCGATGTCCAGTCAACAGTAAACAGTGTCAGTAAAGCATACGTGTGGTTTTGTACACACACACCAACAGTACACACTGACCTTAACCTCTTCAGCTTCAGCCAATTATTTCTGTTCAGTTCAGTCTCAACAACAATTACAGGATCACGAGTCAGAAGATCGTCTTCACTGACAAACAATGTGAGGACAACAGCACAGCCACAGCTCCAACTCTTTATTCAACCTGCCTTTACCAAGTAATAATAATAACAATAATGCTGATAATAATGTTGAAGGAAATAAATTAATAAACATTTATTCACTTAATGAACTACAGAGAAATCCTTTTCTCCATGGCTAGTTTATATTTTGTATAAAGAGCAAATATTTTTGTTTTTCTTCTCCTGCCTTTTCCGTCAGTATGTGTGTGTCTCTGTGCTTGTTTAGTTTTTTTGCCGTCTCTCACCCACTGCCTGCTTTTTTTGTCATGTTACCTTTAACGCTACACAAACATGTAGATGCATGTCAGGAAACGAGGACAACACACCTGGAGCTGGTGTCATTTCACATGACGCTCAGAGGAGATCGCGTCGGTTCCTGACAGCGACTGGACCACAGAGTCATCCATGATTTACCGTGAGCTGTCGCTATCTAGAAAAAGAAAAACACAGAACACAAGGGAACTCATGAATTCTTCAGACTCCGTAGTAAAAACCAAAAAAAAAAAAAAACCCAAAAAAACAAAAACCCATTAGTTGTTTAAATGCACAATTCCAGACTATGTCAAATATATTCAGCAACGGTAAGGTTTTAAGTGTTAACAAATCTTGGTCATATTTTGGTAACGATTAATTTAAAAAAATTAGCATTTCTGGCAGAGTTTCTTATCTTTTACTGCATATTTAATATACTTTCCACTTAAGGTCTGAAAAGCTAACTCAAAGTCAACAAACAAGCATTTTTCATGTACTTAAAGTATTTGTATTCCATGTATTTATTGTATGAACACCACTGATAAGAAATATCAAAAATATAGTATTTTTGATATTGAAAAACTTTCTTCTGTAACGTGAGGTTACACATTTGAATCATATCTAAACACATTTTTATCAACATTTCTTGCCTAGTTTCTCTTTAACCGGTGCGCGTGTTTTTAATAAAGAAGAGAGACCAAAAGTGTCTCGCTCCACAGCTTTCAGCTCTCATCTCTGCCAGTTGAGAGGAAACTGATCCGTGTCCTGAATTCATTCATGACAAACCTCTCACATTACACAGTCGTAGATGAGTCCTGGCCCTCTGCCGTCTCTCCTTCTCTGCTGTTCTACCCCCCAAATATAAACATTAGGACCACAAAAAATAATTACAAAAAGCACTGAATGATTAACATCACATTCACCTCTCCACCATATTCCCCAAAATGGTGATCATCAAGGGAATGGATACATTCCCCTGGTGATCACCATTTCGAGGAGAGCCGCAGCTTCAGCGCGACACGGCAGATTTCTGAATCTGTTTTAATCCTAATCCCATCATCTGACTTCACTCTGCTCTCCGCTCCTTGCATGACCTCTGAAACTAAAATCTTAAGGATTTGGAGTTTTCGAGTTGGTCAGAAAATAGTGTCATAACAGACTCCTCCTGACCTCTTTGAAGTTTATCATATAAATATTTAAATATCTTTTTAAAATACACACTTTGATACAGTTCAATATCAAAGTGTGTCTAAGGAAACCGAAGGGCAAATGAAATCTCAAAAGCAATGAATCCTTTTTAATCTTTATTTTATGTGTGTTTTAACTGTGAAGCCAGTCTAGCTCTATTCAAACCCATGAATGTTGCCCCCTGCTGACTTATACTGGAGAAAAAGCCTCTTGGTGGCAGCAACGAAACGAAAAGGAATTCAAAGAAATCGAGGTGTTTGCAGGATTGGCTCAATGGTTTGGTGGCACCAAAATGTTAGTGCATCAAATTCTACAATAAAATCATGCAATGCTTCTTTTTTCTTTTCTTTTTTTTACCATCTAAACCTGCTCTCTCCACTGAAAGAGATGGTTAACAGATATTATCCAGATGTACTTTACAGAATAAAGAGAGCAAAAATGGAAAGTACATCAAGATTATACACAGCTGTGAGTGTAGGAATGTGAATTGGTATGTGTGTATGTGTGTGTATGTGCGTGTGTGTTGTGTGTATTACCTGTCCAGTCTCTTGTAAAATAGATGAGCTCAGTTTCGTCGTGTCATTCTAACCCTGCAGGAGAAATAAAGAGGGATGGATGGAGGGACGGAGCGAAAGGAAAAACACATGAATAATTGAGCTCAAATCAGTTTAGTGGCCGTCTGTCTCTTCCCACTCTCAGTCTAATGAAGTCACTGCCTGCAACTGGATTCTCTACAAAACTTCTGGAGCAGAGGGATGACCTCCGACATCTGACGGAACTTTCTTTCATCTATGCTGTAAAGGGCTTAGCTTCCTATAACACCTTCATTATTACCCTTTATATTTTTTGGAGTAAAAGCTTGTTGTGACTCAGGATCATCATGATACCATGGTGGCCCCACTGCTAGGGTTGGCCTTTTTATTTCTACCCACCAGTCTGGTCACCTTCTCCACTCATGGTAAGTGGTTTTTTTTAACATTTGATTTGTTCTTTAACCATTTGCTCATGTGTAACATGTTTTAAATAATAATTTATATGGCTAATAAATATGATTGACAGATCAGAAAAGTGCAGAGCAGAGGAAACTCTAACACTGATGAACTTCATCATGAGAGATACCGAAACGTGTCATAGATATGTTAACAAAAGACACGTAATGTTTTATAGGGCATCATTGATAGTCAATAAATGTATTGATGAATCCTCGTCATTATTATTATTATTATTCAATGACTGATTAATGACTGTTTTCTACAAAGAATAGTTGAAAAAATAAAAGAATCTGACTAATATGTCCAACACGTGCTGCTCTAAATGGGTTTAAATGAGGGCACGATCATAAACGTGTACGGTATAGATCAGGGGAGTCAGAATACAATTTTTCTAGAAACCAAAATTAGTAATTAATGTGCATTGAACTGGAAGTGGACAGTGTTATGTTCCATTGTTGACCTAGTTAAACAAACTACCCCTGGAGACAACCAGACTAACACACAACACTGGCTGACCAGTGACCAGCTGCTCATGGCAAAAAGCTGTGTATCAGGTCATTAGACTGGCACAGGTTTGAATTAAAGGATCAGGGAGGCTATCGTTGCTGTTATTGATGCTTTCCTAGCATAGAGAACTTGAGAAATATAAATATTTTAAAAGATTAAGAGGCAAGTGCAGTACTCTCAACCAGGGAACAAGTTTTACTCTGAACTTGTATTACAATTCTGATGTCTCTGAGATACTCAACTGTGTCCAGCTGGGACAGTTGGCTGATTAACTAACTAATAAATCAGTATCAGTATTTCTAACTTTCTCCTTTTGTTATCTTGTATTACTCTAAACCAGGGCATTTCAACTTAGTACTACAGTTAATAGGAGTGCAAGTTAGTTAGGTACTGTAGTATTAAATACTAGTATTGAGTTGTTATTTGGAGTTTGACATTATGTCGGTATCAATGAGACAATTCATCTTCATCTTCTAAGAAAGAGAAACAAATCCAGGTGTGTTTGTTCAGAGTGTTTCTGAAACTTATAGTGTAATCAATACCGTAACTGAACACCGGCAGGAGATGCGACACGTTCTTCTCCGTTGTCTTCTCTATCACACACGAACACACACACACAACTATTCTCTATTCTCTGCCTAACTGTCTGTGTGTGTGTGTGTGTGTGTGTGTCCTCTCTCTCTCCTCCAGCGGTGCAGATCAATCACACCGGGGAGGTGGTGTATCGGGACTCCAGTGTGTACGGGGTGGTAGGAAAGGCGGTGCTTTTGGAGTGCGGTAAAACTTCACCTGACATATACATATGGAGCTTCACCAAACCTGGGACAGAAGCTATAAAGGCAGTGGTGTATGATTTAGGCAAAGGCCCAAAGATCCAGAATCTGGCAGAGACTTTAGGGGAGCTGTCTGTGATTTCAAACACGGCAGCTGTCAGCATCGAGAAGCTGCCTCTGGCTGCACACGGCCTGTTCACCTGCCAGGCCTTCTATGACATAGAGGATGAGCCCATCGTCTACTACTACTATGTGCACCTCACAGTCAGAGGTAAGACATTAAGGCGTGGTTGATCCAACGTCAGGTCTAGATCTCCACCTGAAATGAATAACGACAACATTCCAATTCTTAAAGGGGAAAAATTATGCAACTTATATGCAAATTAAAATGGTTCCTTGATGTCTCAAAAATACATGTTAATTGAAGGGAGAAGTTGTAGTAGAGGTGGAGCTACTCCACCTCTACTACATCCAGACATTATAATCACATGACATCACACAGCTGGTGAAATTAGAACTGCTCGTCCAAAACACTGTCAACACCAATTTGGCGTCATATGTCTCCTTTAGAAATGTTAGAAACTAAACAACTACCTGACGCACGTCTTTTGTTGATGCAGTTCCTGTTAGTCAACCGTATCTGGTGATGAGCGATGTCTCTCCAGTGGAAGGATCGACAATGTGGATGCGCTGTGGTCTGGACAACGGGACTGGACCCATCGACTATGTGTGGCAACATGAGACCCGCAGTGGAAACATCTCAAACATCGCACACGGAAACAGCAGCATAATCAACGTGACTCATGTCAACCGCAACCACACCGGCTGGTACCGTTGTGTGGCCAGCAACGCCGTCAACAGCGAGAGCTCAAACAGGTTATGGCTGGACACGATATGTAAGTCATTTGTAAAATTCTCCTCAGTAGGAAATAGACAAACCAGTCAACATTGTGTATGAGCAGCAGAAGAGCTAAGGCTGCTTCATCAATGTAGGTTTTTCACCTTGAGTTAAAAAAAGAGGGACGGGGGACACTTTAATGTCCAAAGCAGTTCAGTAAAGGACAACTGGATTGTCTTGGTTTCAGTTCTGAACTCCCAATGACTCAATATATATATATATATATTAATATATATTCAGGAATTCAGGGAAAGTAGTGCGCTCACAGTATTAAAAAAAAACACACCTTCCACTGAGAGTAAAGTTTGGACTGCTTTCCTCCTCAGTTGGCCCTGACATCCCAAACATAGACGTGACTCCCTACAGTATGACAGAGCGAGGATATTCAGCCCAGGAGAGAGAGACTGTTTCGTTACTCTGCCAAGCTCAGTCCAACCCAGCCAGCCAGTATGTCTGGTTCTACAACAACTCCCAGGTCTACATGGGCCCACAGTACACCATCACCAAGGTCCTCCGCATGCACACCGGCGACTACGCCTGCTTGGCACAGAACACGTACCTCAACACCCGCTCCAGAAAGACCATCAGCCTTACAGTCTACTGTGAGTGTGATCTATAACATCTGAACGTCTCAGCCGATACTTTAGTGCTGTTCTTTTCTACTTCATCTTTCTGTCAGAGCTGTCTGGAAACAACAACAACAAAAAAAGATGGAATCAGATTTGTTCTTGCCATTGCATGTTTCCTGTTGCACATAAACCTCAGTTCTACCTGCATTCAAGATTTTCATTTTCACTTTTCTACCTTTGTATTCTTACAATTTAAAGATTCATTCAGAAAACACACACACACACACACACACACTCCCTCATTCAGTCACATAAGCACCGCAGATTTTGGGAGTACTGCAGACCTTTTCTCCTGTTCGGGCCATCTGGGATGTTGATGGGACTCTCAGTCAGGTACCTCGCTGTGATGTCACAGCCATGGCAAGTATTGATTGGCTGCACGGCCACTGCTTGCCATTTTCCTCTTATGTTTTGGTTTGCTGAGTTTTTGATCAGGCATCTGATCAAAAAGCAATGCAGAAACCAAGAGAGAGCATTGCTGATTCCTAATAGAAAAGAAGACGTTAGCTCAGCTCTATTAAGAGTATGTAGTAAGATATCCAAAGACAAGTGGATATCAAAGCCCTTTCCACTGACACCACTTAATCTTTTCTGTGCGCATTACTGCTTTGTTACGCTGTTTCTTCTCCCCACAGACCCTCCCGATGGATCTCCGTCCTGTTCTGTGGAGCCAGCTCTGAATCACACCTCTCTCAGACTGCTCTGCTCCTGGTCTGGTGGTTTTCCTCCAGCCTCAGTTCACTGGACTGGAGACCTGAAACAACTGGACCAAGAAACGGCTGACCAAGGGCTACTACCACATCCACAAGCCAACACTGCCATCGTGCTGTCGTCTCAGGGCCTGATATCCAACAACAGCTTGTTTACATGCAGGGGCTCACATGTGGCTCTGAAAGAGTTTACAGAGTGCAGCACACGTGCATGTGAGAACAACAGCAACAAACAGTTTTGGATTTGCACCTGGAATGTCCAAACATCTGACCAGTGTCCTCCTCTCATGTAGATGTTCCCCCCGCTGAGCCAGTGTGTTTCGCCTACGTGACCACCAATCGCCAGTATCTGATGTTGTCCTGCTCCTGGGATGGAGGAGCACCAAGAGCCTTGGTGTGGTGGGAAGGTCCAGGAGGTCAGGGCAAAGCTGGGGAAGAAAACTCCAATATCCTAGTGCTTGGCTACGGCACAGCTCGTGGTGGGAAACCCTACACCTGCCACGCTAAACATCCACTGTTGGCCCGAACTAAGACATGTAATCTCACACTAGGTTAGTACACACACTAGTCACAAACACTTCATAAAAAAACAAAAACAAAACAAAACATAATTTGTTGACTATTCCATATCATCCGCAGAGGCTCCGGTGTTGTTGACACAGCGCAGGGTGGTGTCGGTGTATGAGGGAAGTGACGTTCAGCTCACCTGCAACCTGAGAGCCAACTATCTGCCTGGCAATGAGATTATCTGGCTCAACAACCATGGCATGGATGTGAAAGAAACTCCAAAATACGCACTCAATAGAAACACTGCATGGGCCAACCTGACTGTGAGGGACACGGAGGAAAATCAAGACAGTGGCGAGTACAGATGTACCACCTCCAATGCAGTGGGAGGAACCGAAATCAATATCACTTTAGTGGTTAAAAGTAAGATTTTTTTTCAGTCAGTTGAGACATTCAAGGACAACATCAAAGCATAACTATATCTGAAAATGGTTTAGACAACATCAAAGCATAACTATATCTGATTTATATATTTATATATATCTGATCTATATCTGATAGGATTTTGAATTAACTGTGTAAATTGCTACATTTCAGTTTTTACCCTCTATCACCCTAACCTGCTGTAGATCCTTTCCACACAGTACTAAGTTGATAAAAGTTTCTCACAGCCCTCCAACTCTTTCTTGACCCTCCGCTTTACCCACCATTTGTTCACTTCACTGTCTGAACTCACTCCTTATTTCCTGTTCCAATATTTCTCTTCATCAGGGCACCCCATGCCACCTAATGTGACCGTTATCAAAGCAATGTACAACAGCCGACAGCGTAACGAGGTGGAGCTGGAGTGGCAGGTACAGAGTGAGGAGCTGGGAGGTTGGACGGGTTTCATTCTGGAGCAAAGGTGGATGTCAGAGAGACCAGGAAGGAGCGGCAGCAGGAGAAACGATTCACAAAAGGAGGAGAGGATAGATCAACAAGTCTGGTACCAAAAATCGTTTCTAGAGCCGGGATTCAGGAGTCACACAGTGTTGAGGCTGACGCCCACCATTAACTACCAGTTTAGGATCACCCCTGTCAACCACCGCACCATTGGACATCCTTCTGCAGCAAAGACTCCAGGTATACAACAGAATCTAGTCGAGTTCTAAAGACAGACAGGAACGATTCTAGAACCTAAACTGTAACAAATGTCCAGCAGGGGCTTGACACAGAAAACAGAGTTAAAGAAAGTAAATGATAGGAGTGATGATTTTTACTGTTGTTTATGTTCACTGTCCCTGACAAACAGCCCTGCTCCAATGAGATCTAGACTATTCTAACATTGTTGACATTATGATTAATGGTGCAATGACTTTGACGACAAGCTAACATTTGTTTCTCCTTTGTGTTATCCGTATAGGTGAACAACTCACACACAAACAAAACGACACAACCACATACACACACAACCTCACTGCTTCACATTTCCTTTTTTACCTCCTTCTTTACTGCCCTGCATGCTCTCCCGTTATACTTTTTGTCAATGCCTCCATGTCTGTGGTCAGAAATAAGATGTGATTATTTGAAATGTCCGAATGTATGAAAGTTTGATCTCGGATAAATATTCTCATATACACCTTGTGTATGTACCAATCAGAACTCACATGACACGGATGTGTTAATGGAACCAGAGACAGTGTGTGTGTGTGTGTGTGTGTCAGCTGTTTACTGTATTGCAATGTATAACTGTGATGTGTTGCAGCGGAACCACGCTCCAGCGTGTATCCTGCTGTGATCGGAGCAGCTATAGGCGGGATGATCTTTGCAGCCCTCCTCACTGCACTGCTGCTCATTTTTATAATCCGCAATCGCAACAACAATCCTCGTGAGTCACGCACACACCAACCGCACACACAAACCCTTTAGGCCATATCTGACATTAATATTTTTTTTTCACCCCCACCAGGCGTACACGACATGATCTTTGGAATGTAAGTATCAGTCAATAGCAACCGTGACTAATGGTTATTTTTCCTATGGTGTTGACGTCTAAAAATGTACGGCACTTAAAGGAGTGTTTTTACCTAATGTGTAGGTCACATGGCCAGTCCAGAGAAAACATCAACATTCCAGAAGACGAGATAATGGGCGGGTCAGACAGGGGAATAGAGGAGATTGGTGCAGCATCAAGCCAAGGTTAGTTGAACAAATGTTTGACCTATTTAAAAAGAAGTTGTTCTTTTCATCATAGTACATCAATACATCAGTGACTCTGGTTCTGGAGTTTCAATACACAAAATATATAAAAAAACAACAACAAAAAAATTTCTCCAACTGTATAGTGAAGCTGTGCTGTCATTTAATCACACTCCGTTTGGGTTCTCAGCTCCAGCCATGGCTATACCCCGGGCAGCTTCACCCCTCACCACCTCCCCCATGAGTGCCACCCCCACCCCCAGCCAAGCCCCTTCACCTGGAGATGATGACCCTGTCAGCGTCACCATCACTGTCAAGACCACCGGCTCTTAGTCTCTGATCACTTACTCTTTGTATTTCAGTCAACAATCAATCAATAAACCCTGATTTCAATCAACATAATCAAACACCTCTCACTGTAGGACTGATAGATGCAGCTTTTGTAACAAGTCTGAATGTAGAGCATGAGCAGCGTCGAATGTTTATTTACACAAAAGTTTTATATTTGAATACGGCCAAAAATTCAGGACCATCTTCTTCTCACGTCTCAGAGGCTTCACTCAGCAATATTCCTTTTAGTAATTTATTTAGGAATGTTCCATGTAAAAACAAGAGTGGAATCCATTAATATCAGTCAATAGACAAAAACACACTCTGTGGTTGAGGTTTGTTTGTTTTATCAAATGAAAAGTGGCTTAAAATGATCTGAATGTTTCAAGAGCTGTTGCAAGAGAGCAGCATCACTTTGTTACTTTTTTAAATGTACTGTCTGTTGGTTTGAAATAACTTTCATTTCTAAGTATCCATCAATAAATAAACTACCCCTCAAAATACTCTAACTACCTGTACCCAGTTGGTCTGAGGATGAACGTTTTATTTACTGATGCTCATAATCTTAACTTATCTTCTGTATTAGTCGTTGGTGAGAAAAAGAGAATATGTTGCATTGCATCAGTTACAACATTTTTTTTTTAATTCTCACATTTTGAGGGAAACTGACACACAAACAATTTGGAGCTTGACAGACGCACAAAGTGACCTTTAAAATATCATTTGAACATCAAAATATGTACAACAGTTTAAGGCAGTTTGTTTGACTGCGCAAACCGTGTGGTGGAGGTGGTTCATGTGAGGGGGAGTAAAATCTTCTGAGAGCTGACGATGTCACCAAGCTTATGTTTAATCCTCACAAAATGACGCTTGAACTCCAGGCCGTCACCCTGGAGAAAAATACATAATAATATGTTGACATCTAAGTGGCAGCAGACTTATTTTACACCGTCTGGTATTTTTTTATTTTGTTAGTTTGGTTTAAGTGTCTCACCTGTGTTTGTCACCAAGGAGCAAAGTAAAAAAAAGATCTACAACATGTGGTGGTGTGCGTCTAAATCCTTATTATAGCTTAAAATTCTAAACTCTAAAATGTTGTATGTGGGTATGTGTGCGCTTTGGTTGAACACGTTGACGTGCTGTACCACCGGCAAACAATCTTAAAGATACGTAATATTCCTAATAGATGGAGTTAACTGAACTCTCCCAAAACCTTTGACAGTTTCTTTAATATAATGTATCAATATCGATTTCAAATAGCAGTTTGTACAGGCTGTGGTTACGTTTCTGTGTGACACTATACGTACGCTGCAAAAAACTACACATTCCTAAATGATATATAATAAAAAAAAAAGAAAACTCACCTTGGACAGTCTGAAGTCGAGCAACACTCTCTGATTCATCTCAAACAAATGAACTTTAAAAATGAGTTTGTTGTTGCGTCTGTCCAGAGTGCTTACCGTGACCTAAACAGCAGAAGGAGCTTCATTCAAATCAGGTAAAGTACGGTTTCACAGTCATTTAAATTACGTAGAGTTCTATTTCAAACATCAGTATCCACAATCCACTAGGGGGCAATACTGTTCAATTTATGGGCACACAACAGCTATACTGGTCAACTGCTCATTATTTACAAGTGTGTACTTCTCAGTTTCATGGGTTAGGGTTAGAGGAGCACCGCGAAAATGTAGACAAGGAGGAAATACAGACAACGGACGAAGGACTGAGTGCTTTTTTAGCTGTGACCATAAACTAAGCTTAAACCTAACTCCAGCTGCAATGTTTTTCCTGAATGTGTAGTTTGGAGGACACCGTTCACCTGTTTGGTGCAGGAGAGTTTGAAGCCGAGGGCCAGGCCGTCACACACGTCTTTCAGTGCAGATAACGTGTCTTCAGCGTTCACAGCTGTGAAGAAGCGCGTCATTCTTCTGACTAATCTCTGCCAGGGCGACTAAACAACATAGTGTGAGGGAACAAAATGATTTATTTTTTTTAATCTGTGTGTACGATATCTAAATGTTTAGATAGTGTGAGGGAACAAAATGATTTTTTTTTCAGCTCCAGCCATGGCTATACCCCGGGCAGCTTCACCCCTCACCACCTCCCCCATGAGTGCCACCCCCACCCCCAGCCAAGCCCCTTCACCTGGAGATGATGACCCTGTCAGCGTCACCATCACTGTCAAGACCACCGGCTCTTAGTCTCTGATCACTTACTCTTTGTATTTCAGTCAACAATCAATCAATAAACCCTGATTTCAATCAACATAATCAAACACCTCTCACTGTAGGACTGATAGATGCAGCTTTTGTAACAAGTCTGAATGTAGAGCATGAGCAGCGTCGAATGTTTATTTACACAAAAGTTTTATATTTGAATACGGCCAAAAATTCAGGACCATCTTCTTCTCACGTCTCAGAGGCTTCACTCAGCAATATTCCTTTTAGTAATTTATTTAGGAATGTTCCATGTAAAAACAAGAGTGGAATCCATTAATATCAGTCAATAGACAAAAACACACTCTGTGGTTGAGGTTTGTTTGTTTTATCAAATGAAAAGTGGCTTAAAATGATCTGAATGTTTCAAGAGCTGTTGCAAGAGAGCAGCATCACTTTGTTACTTTTTTAAATGTACTGTCTGTTGGTTTGAAATAACTTTCATTTCTAAGTATCCATCAATAAATAAACTACCCCTCAAAATACTCTAACTACCTGTACCCAGTTGGTCTGAGGATGAACGTTTTATTTACTGATGCTCATAATCTTAACTTATCTTCTGTATTAGTCGTTGGTGAGAAAAAGAGAATATGTTGCATTGCATCAGTTACAACATTTTTTTTTTAATTCTCACATTTTGAGGGAAACTGACACACAAACAATTTGGAGCTTGACAGACGCACAAAGTGACCTTTAAAATATCATTTGAACATCAAAATATGTACAACAGTTTAAGGCAGTTTGTTTGACTGCGCAAACCGTGTGGTGGAGGTGGTTCATGTGAGGGGGAGTAAAATCTTCTGAGAGCTGACGATGTCACCAAGCTTATGTTTAATCCTCACAAAATGACGCTTGAACTCCAGGCCGTCACCCTGGAGAAAAATACATAATAATATGTTGACATCTAAGTGGCAGCAGACTTATTTTACACCGTCTGGTATTTTTTTATTTTGTTAGTTTGGTTTAAGTGTCTCACCTGTGTTTGTCACCAAGGAGCAAAGTAAAAAAAAGATCTACAACATGTGGTGGTGTGCGTCTAAATCCTTATTATAGCTTAAAATTCTAAACTCTAAAATGTTGTATGTGGGTATGTGTGCGCTTTGGTTGAACACGTTGACGTGCTGTACCACCGGCAAACAATCTTAAAGATACGTAATATTCCTAATAGATGGAGTTAACTGAACTCTCCCAAAACCTTTGACAGTTTCTTTAATATAATGTATCAATATCGATTTCAAATAGCAGTTTGTACAGGCTGTGGTTACGTTTCTGTGTGACACTATACGTACGCTGCAAAAAACTACACATTCCTAAATGATATATAATAAAAAAAAAAGAAAACTCACCTTGGACAGTCTGAAGTCGAGCAACACTCTCTGATTCATCTCAAACAAATGAACTTTAAAAATGAGTTTGTTGTTGCGTCTGTCCAGAGTGCTTACCGTGACCTAAACAGCAGAAGGAGCTTCATTCAAATCAGGTAAAGTACGGTTTCACAGTCATTTAAATTACGTAGAGTTCTATTTCAAACATCAGTATCCACAATCCACTAGGGGGCAATACTGTTCAATTTATGGGCACACAACAGCTATACTGGTCAACTGCTCATTATTTACAAGTGTGTACTTCTCAGTTTCATGGGTTAGGGTTAGAGGAGCACCGCGAAAATGTAGACAAGGAGGAAATACAGACAACGGACGAAGGACTGAGTGCTTTTTTAGCTGTGACCATAAACTAAGCTTAAACCTAACTCCAGCTGCAATTTGTTTCCTGAATGTGTAGTTTGGAGGACACCGTTCACCTGTTTGGTGCAGGAGAGTTTGAAGCCGAGGGCCAGGCCGTCACACACGTCTTTCAGTGCAGATAACGTGTCTTCAGCGTTCACAGCTGTGAAGAAGCGCGTCATTCTTCTGACTAATCTCTGCCAGGGCGACTAAACAACATAGTGTGAGGGAACAAAATGATTTATTTTTTTTAATCTGTGTGTACGATATCTAAATGTTTAGGGTTTTTTTTAGCAAAGATTGTGTGAATCACCTGACTGGCTCCTGGTGTACCCAGCAGCTGACTGCCCAGTAACATGTGCTCTGGCTTGGTGGGCTGAGAGAAGCTGACCTGACCGTCGTTCTGACTGATCAATAACAACGCTTCCCAGCCTCCTGCTGCAAGATCAGGCTGAGAGCTGGAAAACTGCATACTGTCATCACTGGGGAGAGAGGGTGGGATGGTGTTAATGTAAAAGGAACGATAATAAAATAACCAATAAAAAAAAGAACAAAGTTTGACCTGTTAGCCCTTGATTTCAGTCCCACATCTGCTCGAAGAAGTTTGTTTCCTCCTGAGCCTGAGGAACCTGGAAGTTGTTTTACACCTGCAGAAATATCAACCAAGAGAGATGTCTGCACTTTCTAAGACAAAGCTCCTGAAGTTCATGTGTTACTCTTTGTACTGCTAAAGAGACAAACCATGAATAAACCAGCGATCCTTCTTTATGTTTGACACAGTGATACGCGTGTCTGGACAGGGTAGCAGTAACTTAGACAACAAACCTAAAAAAAAGAGGACACATGTGAAACACTGATGGCACCAAAAAGGAATGTGAAGTTTTTACAGCATGAAGTCAAACTCACTTAGTGGCATTGGTTGTATTTTTTTCCACGGAGGTAAATACGTTTTCTTTTGAATCCAGTCTGAGTATTCCTGACAGCTCTCGGCGGGCTGGTCCCACGGCAGCTCTGAGAAAGGAAAAATACAACGAGAGAGTCAGTGAGAAGTTTGATAGGACATAAAAACATTTTGGTTTGTTTGTTTTTAATTTGAAAAAAAGTTCAAATTATTACTGCCCTCTACTGGATGTAGTTTTTAGCTTGGCAAACATTTTACCCCGAAATATTCCAACCATTTGCAAAAACTACCGACTTAAAATGTTATCTTAAAGGCAACAAAACAATAGCCTTCTGCTGCGACATTGCCTTTTTGCATCTCTACAATATAAATACCAAAAAAAGTGACACCTCCAGCTGAATAGACTCTGAACTCTTGATACTTTTTTGAGAGACTTCACCTCCAGCCAACATGGCAGTGAGGACGATGCCACAAGACCATAAATCTGCAGGCTGAGCTTTGAACTCGGGTTGGCCGAGAAGCTCTGGTGCAACGTAGGGGAGCGTCCCACAGAGTCGATTCAAAAGGCGCTCTCTTCCTTTAAACCGAAACATTGTGGCCAGGCCAAAATCTGACAGCTTTAGGTTATCTGAAGGAAAATGAGCAGCAGGTGAAGTTTACAGTTTACACACACACACCAAATCATTTAACTCATCTGTTTTTTTAACCTTTGTCATCAAGCAAAATGTTCTCCGGCTTAATGTCTCTGTGAGTGATGCCCACACTGTGCAGATACTCCTGTGGTAGAGTGGAGTGGACATTAAGAACAACAGGAAGTGCTTCAGGAAATAAAAGAGGTCCTTGTCACTCACCACAGCTGAAATGAGTTGCTGGAAAAATCTATGTGCATCTTTCTCTTCCATCCCTACATCAGGTTCTGAAGAGGAAGAAAATGTGAATTATTTCATAACAGGTCAAACGACCACAGGATTAATGCTATTTTATTCAAAATATATGTATTGGAGCAGTTGTTCCCAATCTGGGGTTTTTACATCACCATAAAACTTGACATCTGGCATCAATTTATTTCTGCTAGTATTTTGAATTCTCACCTATTCGGTCGAACAGCTCTCCTCCGGTGCAATACTCCAGAAAGAGGTAAACTGTTGGCCCTTCCTTGCGATGCCCAAAAAAACGTACAATGTTGGAATGGTTCAGCATCTGTGAAAGAGCAGTAAATCATGTTGTTTAAGTGCACAAACCTTGTAATTCTATGACATCTTTATGGAAATAGACGAGGCTTTATAAGGTCAATGATACACTATCTTCTCAGCTGTTGCAGGGCTGCTAATAGTTGCTACCGTGTTGCTTCAACTACTAACGTCCATGAGACCACTGACCTGATTCGACAAACGTCAATGTAACACAACAACTTACCTTATGAACACAAACTTCCTTCTTGACATTTTCAGCACATTCTTTGGCCTGAGACGTGTCAATCACTTTCACTGCCACAGCCTCTTCTGTCTGCCTGTTCACCAGCAGCCGCACTCTGAGACGGAGGAGACAAAAGTTTGGCCAAAGATCCAAAGAATATATTTGTATATAATATACTTATAAACATACAAAAAATCTTTATGTTTACATCTTAAATTATTATTTTTTATCTCTATTTTTCATTGTTTCCTATTATTTTTTGTATCTCTCATTAGTAGCCATGACTCCCTTCCAATCATGTTACAAAGGTGGTTATTATTATTGCAATAAAGAAAAATATTTTCTAACCTCAAAAATAATACCAAACACTACCAATAAAACTAATGACAAACGTTTTGTTTTTAAAAAAAGATGCATACTCTCCGTAGGCTCCTTCTCCCAAAGTCTGAACGAGGTCCCAGCCCTGCACAAAAGGCACCGCCATGCTGCAAACACGTTCGAATATATAATAAATCAAACAATAATTTCTCCTCAAGCAGAATTTCAGTGTCCTGTCCTGAGTCAGGGGACTTGGTTAGAGGTTCTGACAAGGTACCATTAATGTCCCTGTCATAAGGTAAACGTAACTTATTCACCTAGCAAACGAATCCAAAGCGAACAAACGTTTAACAAAAGCAGTAAATTATTTCATCTGTAGTGTCTTCCTCGGCTAGATAAAACACACACACACGACCTTTATCTACATAGGAATCTTTTCTTAACGCTGTATCTTGAACTAGTCCAGCACAAATTTGGCGCGGTGTTGTTTTTCCTTACACTACCTTCCGGCATATACGTAACTTCCTGTTGTCGCCTTCCAAAGGCAGCTTTTAGCATTGATGATACATTACTGCCCTCTGTTGGTTGTAGTAACGTTGGTGGTTTAGATTGACGGCGTCGGAATTTATTTATTGAAAACCTGACTATTTTTTGCCAACATAAAATTCGTTCCAATGTTTTTGATGATCTAATCAAATAATAAAACAATACTTCGATCAATGTAACGTATTTTTAGTCATTTATATTATTCTGGCGTGATAAATATCGACCTGAACAAATGAATAAGAGTTTTTGCACACAAAACAAACCCTCAGATAATAATGAGTATAATATCAAGATGACCTGAATTAAACTACCATCGTTGCTCTAGTTTTAAGATTACGGGGAACTGAATCAATCAATAAATAAATGTGTCCTTGCCAAAGGTTTCGCTAGACTTTTGGGAAATGATGAAGCAGATGGTTGTACTTTGTCACAGTTTCACAATTAGGTTGGTTGCTTCACGCCGCTTGTGTGTGTTTGCGTGTGCGCGCGCATGTGAACACATAACCAATCTTGGATTAAAAAACAAAAAACTATTTATATTTTCTCCACTTCTATTATTATTTGTTATTCATTTCATTACGACCAAATCATATTTATTTGTATTTGAAGTGAAGCAGCTCCATTTAGACAGTAATTGTTTGTATGTTTACTATTGATTTTCCTTTATTTGCCACGAGGTTAATAAATACCCTGACACTCTTTATTTGTCCAGTCCCTGTCTCTCTCATCACTCTCCTTTAGCCCCACTTTTGCTGCTCAACATGGGATTTTCTGTCCACTGGAGTTGGTTTGCTGTGCTTTCTTGTCTTCTCAGTTTGGGTAAGCTTAACATGTTTGTTATTTACATTTCACTACATTTTAGATTTTTTTTTCTGAAACCGCAGTGGGACACAGTTAAAACGTATACTTCATTCAAAAAGAATCCAGTCATATCCCTCTACTTTTTTTATTTAAAGATCATCTGGCAATGTTTTAAAACAATAGGTCAGTCAGACTAGAACAGAATAAAGTCTAAAAGATGTTAATGATCCTTCAACAACGGTATTATACTGGTTCTTGTTTAGGTTTATTGTCAGACAACAATGTATACACAGCTAGTCAATCACTTGAACTTTACTTGAAAGTATTTATTAGTTACAAAACCGGATTTTAAATGAAACAAAGGTAATAAAAGTACAAATCAGTGCAACTTTTCCACTGTGGCACAACGAAGGAAAATATCGAAAATAATATTTATTTGCCTTTCTGCAAGTCATACCACCCCTCTGCCCCCAAAAGAAAAACAAACTAGTACCAAATCATCTCCTCTGTACCTGCCTTTTCGTTCCAGGACGTGAGGTTGAGTGTCTATGCACAACAACGGGTGTCGAAATAGAAGGAGGCTCCTATTCACTGAGCAATAATCTGAGTGTAAACAGTATATTGGTCTACAAATGTCCTGAGGACCATTACCCCTACCCTGAGCAAGTGCGATATTGTCGCGCTGACAGCAAATGGATAAAACCACCGAGAAAGTACCCACGCCAAACATGCAAGCGTAAGTAATGTTTGTTTGTGTCACATGTTCTAGCCTCGGCTGTTTGCTCTAAAGGGATTTGTCTTTGGGTTTCAGTGGTTGAATGTCCAGATCCTAATGTGCTGCAAAATGGTGACGTCTCGCCTCCTCAGGAGCGTTACTATGTGCACAATCAAACCACGTACGAGTGCTACTCTGGACATAAGCTACGAGGCTCCAGCAGGCGGGTTTGTCTACCTAACGGAAAATGGAGCGGCTCCACTCCCATCTGCAGTCGTGATGGTACGTCCTGAACACCGTATTTCTTCACCTCATGTTCTAATTTATGACTAAAATTAATCTTCCCCTTTATGTATCACCACAGCAGGAAATACTTGTGCTGATCCTGGAATCCCAGCCGGTGCCTCAAGATCTGGGAATATGTTTGGATTCGCTGACAAAGTACGATACAGCTGCGGTGGCAAACTTTTTCTGGTGGGGTCAAAAGAAAGTCAGGAGAACGGCGAGTGGACGGGCATCGAGCCCGCATGTTACTGTAAGGAACTACGGGATGTAACGATGTAACCCTCACGATATGATTCGCATTGTTGTGTTCACAATACGATTTTATTACAATATTTTTATTTGATTTTTGTTCGTTTGTTCGTTTGTTTATGTTCCATCTGAAAAATGTGTCATGTTGATTTCAGACAAATATACCTATGACACTCCACTGGAGGTCGCAAAAGCATTTGGTGGCTCAATCAGAGAAACCTTCACCACTTTACAGTCCGCCAGTAAGTTCAACAAAGTCAAAGGGATATGGGCATTACTGTAAAGTAAGGCAAAAGTAACAAGTGTAAGGCAGGAAAGAGTTGAAAATAATGTGTCCTGTCGCCTGTCCGCTCACACACAGATGACACACAGCAGGAGAGGAAAATCCGAATTACAAAAAATGGAACACTCAACATCTACATTGCTATGGACATTTCTGAAAGCATAGACGAGACACAACTCCAACCTGCAAGAGCTGCTGTCATGAAACTGCTTGAGAAGGTATGAAACATATTTAGTCATTCTATTCCACAAGATCCTGATTCAGAACTCCGGTGGACCCCTGTACACCCCCCCCCCTGCCCCCCCACTGAGTAATTAAACATGTTGTTGTGTTTGGTTGATATACATATATATCTTTAGATAATTCTAAGTGAAAACTTTTTAGCAACATTATTAGCATTTCTTATCTAATTTTACTTTGGCTATTTTTTTTTGGGGGGGGGTTGCGGGGTAAAAATGAAAATGTATTAATAAATTGGTGATTATTTTTGCAGAGCAGAATACTAACAGTTTGACCAATTACTCGATAGCTTTGTGCTAACTTTTTTTTCTTAGCACTCACCCTGAACATTTAGATATCAATGTAAAAAGTAACGATCTGCAGCCTTTAGGTGTTATATAGAGTAGTGTCATTGTACTTTTTACTTTGTTGTCTAATGGACTCGGTTTACAAAATGCCAGTTGTGCAAAAGCATCAAAAAGTGATGGATGTTGGCAGGGACCTTGCTGAGTTGTAGAAACATGTTTAGATACAGCAGTTAGCGTGGCCCGTCTGGACATTTAATCAATCAGTTGATCTCATATCTATACAATAAAAAACAGCTTATGTGATGTCAAGTAGAGGAAGCCAGTAGGCCATCAATCATGACATGCAAAAATGTCACAACGCTGCTATATGAAATCTTACCTAATGCTACTTTGTGTTTGTGACGGCCATTTGAAATATTACAGTAAAAATTCTACAGTACTGTATAAACTCCTACACTTTAGCATACGGTCAGTGCAGTCTGACAAATGGAGTATTTTATGTTGCCTGACGTGTACAAACATAATCTCATCCCATTTGGCTGCCGGTTCAATGGCCCATTAGAATTGAATTTCAATATGAATTACACATCACAGTAATGACTGATGGTTTTTGGCGTGCGTCCATTTGGCCCACCATAACCTCTTTCTGCTGATAAATGCATCAATTTCTCAACAGAATGACAACCATAAGCAGTTTGCTGCACCAGAAGGTGTTGCATTAACAAAATACTACACAGCAGGGCTACTTTGCTAATACGTAGGTGGGTTCTTGCATCACTGGGCATCTCTTCCTGCTGTATATTACCACGGCTTTCCCATGTTCTACAGATTGCATCCTTCAGTGTGACACCCAACTACGAAATCATCTTTTTCTCATCTGAGATATATACTATTGTCAGTATTCTCGACTTCCTGAATGGTAACGTGAAGCTGAACGAAGTCAAGACAAAAATGGAAGCCTTTGAAGTTGGTGGTGAGTCACACGGACTGGGCCTTTAGTTGAAAGTGCACATGGTTACGTTGTTTTAAACA